CCACCTCACTGGCCCATTCTCCCTCTGTTCCTGAACCCGTGAGCCGGCACCGACCATTCTGCCCCTTCCGCCACTCGGTACCATCACGGCTCAACTTAATCCTTGCCTCTGCCTGCCTAACCCCCTGACAGAGGTAAAATCGCTCCCGGTCACAAACGGGTTTGACAGCAGGGCAAGGGGAGAGAATTCCGACGGGTTCCCTCCCTCCCCGAGCAGGCATCCATCCCCATCCGCTCTGGGGATGAGCACTTCCGTCGTTCCGAGACGGTGCAGGGTTGACCATGACAGGTGGCCAGCCCTTGGTAAGATGGCCTGTTACAAAGGAAAAGAGATTGTAAAAACCCTCACTGGGTTGACCCCTTTTGGTGATAACCCCTCTGGGTCTGATCTCCCCTCCTGCCCCCTTGCCGCTGCCAGTGGAAATATCTCCTGTACCCTTTCAGAAATGGTGAGGTCAAGGCGACCCCGACTCACCACCCCCCCACATCGTCCTGACACTCTTTTCACCCCTCCCCCCCCCACCCCCCCCCCCCCCAACCCCCACCTTTTTCTCCAGGGAATAGATGACTGGAACGGGCTCTGTGTTATCACAGCTCCTGGGGTGTCTGAGCGAAGTGGGGAGGGGGAGGGGGGTGAGTTATATCATGGAGCTATGCCGCGGTCCCTATCGCCTGGTCTCCAGGGCTTCCCAGCGAGAGGCCGTGACCGTCCTGCGGAATAACGCAGCCCCAGAGCTCTGACCGAGAGAGGGGGAGGGGCTGCGCATTTACCAGCAACTCCCCGCGTTCGTATAGCGCCGGGGGAGCGCTCCGCGCGTTTTTCTCGGTGCCTCCGACCGCGAGCCAGACTTACCCAGACTCAGTTGCCCAAACGCTCCGCCTATGAGTTCGGTTTTAAGGGGCTCCCCAGAGGAGGACGTGCGCGGGAGGGGATTCCTGAGCTCAGGCCCCCCCACCCTCCATAGGCAGCGGAAGGCACGGCCCCCAATGGTGGAGCGATGGAGGGGGTTTGGGATTGAAGGAGTTAGAATCGGAGGAGTGCAACCATCTTGGAGGGGGTGACGGAGACAGGGAGGGGGTGACGGGCGGAGGGAGGGGTTCACGGGGCCGGGGAGGGGGTGACGGACAGCGCCGGGGAGGGGATGTCAGGGCTGGGGAGGCGATGACGGGCTCTTGGTGTGTGGGTTTGCCTGGTGACGGTGCCATGTCGCTCTTTGCCTCCCTCAGGTCTACCACATCTACATGGCAGGCCGCCAGCTGTGCTGGAAGCGGTACCGGGAGTTTGCCGTGTTGCACCAGAACCTGAAGCGCGAGTTCCCTGACTTCACCTTCCCCCGGCTGCCGGGAAAGTGGCCTTTCTCCCTGTCGGAGCAACAGCTGGACTCTCGCCGCCGGGGCCTGGAGGAGTACTTGGAGAAAGGTGAGGACACTTGGCCGCTTTGCAACTGCAAAAGGGGCTGGCACAGAAACTACCACCCTGTCTGCTGCCTCCAGGTTCCTCCCACTCCTGCCCCGCAGTCTCAGCCCATCCCCCCCACCCCGACTCCTGCATCCCCCCCCCACCCTCCAAACAGACTCTGGGCCTCTCCCCCCATCCACTGTGGGGCCCCTTGGTGTTGTCAGGAGATCCTTTGATGAATTCATCTGTCTGTGGAGTTAGGGGTGTCACAGGCTGGGACTCGTCCCCCTAACTGCACACACACCCCACCCCCACCACTGTCGAAGACGGTAGGATTGAGCTGCCATCTTGAACCGATGCATCCCACCCCCCCCAACCCCCGCCACCCCACCCCCAACCTTGTGGTGTAGGGACACAGTACCATTAAGGAGGGAGTTCCAGGATTTTGACCCTGAAGGAACAGCCGATATATTACCAAGTCGGGATGGTGTGTTGGGGGGCTGGGGGGGGGAGCGGGGCTGGTGTTCCCACATATCTTGTCCTCCTAGCGTTGCCCCGCTCCCTCGGCGCTGACCCTCCGGCGGCGCCCCGCTCCCTCGGCGCTGACGCTGGGTGTGCTAAGCAGGATTTTGGAGCTCTGTCTGAGGCTGGAAGCACATTGTGGAACACCCACGTGAACTGGAATTTAACCTCTGCCCTGCCCCCCGACCCCATTAACTACTTATTCTGTTACTTCACAGTGTGTTCAGTATGTGTCATTGGAGAGAGCGACATTGTGCAGGAATTTCTCTCCGACTCCGATGAGGTGAGTGAGCTCGTCAGCGTTTGTCTCTCTCTGTGTCTGTCTCGAATTCCATTCGGACCGTTGCTGCTGTGCCAGCTTTTGGAAAGAGCCCTCCAGTTCGTGTCTCAACCACTCCCGCCTCCACCCTGAACCCATCACCTTTGAATCTCTCCCTTTCCAGTCTGTCTCTGACTTGCCCCTCGCCCCTTTGTTTGAAAGTTCCCGCTGAATCCTCTCCTTCTCAGGCAGTGCCAGATCTCAACAAAATCATTCTCCTCCGGCTTCCCCCAATTCTCTTCAAACCGTGTCTCCCTCTGGTGACCGACCCTCCTGCCCGCGGGGAGCAGTTTCTGTGTCATTCTCGAGCCTTCTCTGAAAATTGTCCGCGATTTTCTCTTGTGCCCTGCAGAACTTCAATGGGGTGTCCGAAGTGGAGCTGAGGATTGCGTTCCCCGACAGAACCACGGTGTCGGTGAAGGTGAAGAAAAACAGCACAACCGACCAGGTCTACCAGGTACCTTCACTCCCGCATCGAGCGTTCCACAGCATCTGCCCTCCCCACCCAGCCCGCCGCGCTGTCAGAGGGGTCTGTGTCCAGGG